CCCGCCTTGAAACACTCCAGGGTTTCAAAATGGGTTAGAGTTGATGCGGCAGAATGCAGATTTTAACTACGGGACGTTTTAGTTCTCCGGTGGCGGTTTTGATGGTTACAGAACGTATAACACCATCGACACCTTTGTGGATTTGTAAAATTCTGCCCATCTTCCATTTCAGTGGTGGTAGACCATCCTCCTTAACGAGTACCATAAGACCAATTTTGATCAGCTGAGGATGTTGCATTTTCCACTTCACTCGTGTTTGAAGATTGGAAACATATTCCTTTGTCCATCTAGACCAAAAGTGATGGACGATTTGTTGGGTCCTTTGGAATCTTGAGAGGCGATTCTCCTTGAGGTCCAATAAGCTCGGTTCTGGTAGCGCTGTCAGGCTTTCACCAATTATAAAATGTGCCGGGGTAAGGGGAGTTAGGTCATTGGGATCAGTTGGAATGGGATAAAACGGTCGGGAATTAAGACACGCTTCTATTTGACATAATACGGTGTAAAATTCTTCAAAATTTAAAGATGCATTGCCCATTACTCGTTTTAAGTGATACTTGGTAGACTTCACGCCTGCCTCCCAAATACCACCGAAATGTGGTGCATTAGGAGTAATAAAATGCCATTGAATACCTTCAGTTGTGAGATGTTCAGTAATATTTTTCTTATAAGAATCAAAGAAAAGTTTTATTTCATTATTGGCGCCTACAAAGGTGGTACCGTTGTCCGAATAGATTTCTGAGCATTTACCTCGCCTGGACATAAAACGTCGTAGACAGGCCAAAAAACATTCTGATGTCGCTCACGACTACTAAATGTAAAGCCTTCGTTGAAAAGCAGACAAATAGTGCAATATATGCCTTGAAAGTTTTGAAATCTCTTCCCTTTCTATCACGTAGTTGAAACGGTCCCGCATAATCCACTCCCGATATAGAAAATGGGCGTGACGGAGTCATTCGTGACGGCGGAAGATTAGCCATTATGTACTCTTGTGTTTTAGCCTTACACCGGAAGCATCGCACGCATTCGTGTACAACCCTTTTTACTAAGTTGCGGCCTGATAGTGGCCAAAATCTTTCTCTTATTGATGCCAAAAGCGCTTGAGGACCTGCGTGAAGAAGCCTAATGTGTTCCTGATGCACAATTGTTTGGGTAAAGTGACAATTTGAAGGTAGAACTGCTGGATGTTTCTTTAAATAGTTGTAGTTAGACTGTTGTAATCGTCCACCCACACGAATAATCTTATTCGTGGTATCGTAAAAAGGATTTAGGCTCAAAATTTTACTCTTTTTGTGAAGTAATTTAGATTGTGATAGTTTTCGAAAATCATCAGGAAAGTAGACCCTCTGTATAATATGAATAAGAAAGTATAACGATTCATCAAGCTCAACTGTTTTTGAGGTACCTTGACGTTTAGGATCATTTCTGTATTTGATATTGTTCAAAAACCTCAAAAAATAGGCAAATATACGTTGCAACTTCATTATAGAAGAGCGTGATTCAATGAAGTTTAAAATATAGTCGAGAAAGCCATCGTTTGTGTTAACGAGAGATACAGTCTTATTGCGCACTTCAGGAAGTTCGAATGATTGAATAGAGTTTTCAATTTCCTTTGATGGCCAATTGAGTTCACACTGAACAAGCCATGAAGGACCGTGAAACCAGAGTTCAGACTTTGTCAGATCGAATGGTGATACTCCACGCGATAGTAAATCAGCTGGATTATCCTGCGATTTGACGTGTTTCCATGACTTAGGATTCGAAAGATTCTGTATTTTTGCATTCGATTGGCTACGAACGTTTTTAGAACATGTGGAGACGTGTTTATCCATGAGATGCATATCGTGGAGTCACACGAATAAATAATTTTTTCAATGTTTCAACTAGATGAACGTGCCTTGTCCTTGTGCGGTTTGTGAAGCATCGTAATACCCGTGGAATTGTACTGATACAGGGTTGGGACATGATGCTTGTCGCGGTATTTTTATCGAGTTTAGGTACTGCAATTGAGATTGATAATTCGACCATTCAGTATGTAGGTTGCTGGGAAGTGACTCATCCCATGACAACTTGAGTTTTCAGAGTTCTTGTAGAATAATTTTTGCCCTAATTGTGACAGGTGAAAGAATCCCAAGAGGGTCAAAAATCTGAGCGGTTAGTGATAATATCTGACATTTTGAAATTTTAGAACCATATTGAAAAGTATCAATAGAGTATTGGAGACAGTCATCTATCGGATTCCATAGTAATCCGAGTGTTTTATTCTGATCCCTGTCACCTATGTGTAGGAGATCAGGATTACAATCAAGAAGCAAATGTTTATTATTTGATATTCATTTTCTCAATGGAAAACCGTAGGAGAGTAGAAGTTTAGAAGTATTTTCTTTAATATAATTGATCTCCTCTACAGTGTCACCACCAGTGAGGAGATCATCGACGTAAAAGTCGTGTAAAATAATGTCAGCAATTTTTGGAAACTCATACTTGTTAAGATGTGCAACTTCTTGCAGTGATCTGATAGCCAGAAACGCTGAAGATGCCAAACCATACGTGATTGTGTTCAATTTGTAAATCTGAATTTCACTTTCAGCATGGAAACGCCATATCTTTTGGAAATCGCGTTGTGATTCATGGACAAGCACTTGACGGTACATTTTTGTTATGTCTGCACTCAGAACATAATTGTGTTGTCGAAATCTCAATAGAATATGAAACAAATTATCTTGAATGGTGGGTCCTACCATCATGATATCGTTAATTGATATACCAGTCGTGGTTTTAGCGGATCCATCAAAGACTACTCTCAATTTTGTAGTTGTCGAATCTTTCAATACGCAATGATGCGGAAGAAAGAAACCTGAATCGTCACTTTGATGTTCAGCTAAAGACATGTGACCGAGTTGAATATATTCTTCAATGAACTGGTGATATTGTACCTTCATGTTGGGATTTCTTTCGAGTTTTTTCTTGAGATTGCGAAACCTGTATTCGGCTATTGTTTTAGACTGACCGAGAACAAATTCATTTTGTTTAAATGGAATTGTTAACACAAAGCGACCGTCTATGGTTCTCTGTATGGTTTCCTTGAAGTGTTTCTCACAACTCCCAAAATTTTGCAACTTGAGATTCTAAATTATCTGTTGAAATACAGCTGTGGTGAGTTTTGAAACTTTTACTTGCAGTACGTAAAGGACCTGATACTAACCATCCCAATTTAGATTTTTGTAGCGTTGGAAGACCATCGCCAAGTTTTATTTGACCAATGCTCAAAAGATCCCAAAATGTGTCTGCCCCTATCAATATGTCTATGGGAGCAGGTTTATCGAAATGTGGATCAGCCAAATTCAGTTTACCAGGAATATTCATTTTTGTTGAATGTAAACATGAGGAAGGCAAGTAACTTGTTATTTGAGGCAGAACTATGCAAGAAATTGTTTTTTCAAAATTATTAATATTAGATCTGAACCTGAGTGAAACAGAAAATTGTACCTTATTACTCATTTGGTTTATACCAGTGACTGACATATTGATTGAATGCTTTTTCAAACGTAAGATATTGGACATTTTTTCTGAAATAAAATTCACCTGGCTCCCACTATCAAGCAGAACTCTACAATGATGTGTGTTATCAAATTCATCAAAAACTTTAATTATTGCGGTAGAGAGTAATACCTGAGGAGGAGTAGAAAACTAGTAGTTAATGTATGTTGTAAGTTAATTTCATTGGCATCTACATTAGACGCGCCCGAACTATTTAAAGTTATGTCATTTACAGGTTTACCACTCTCCCCTACCCGGTTGTTTTCGAAATGTAACATACTATGGTGTATGTTTCCGCACCTTCTACAACCCGCTGACTTACACTCCTTTGTGCGGTGATTAGAGCCCAAACAATTTATACACAGTCTCAGACGTTTTGCTGTATTCAGTCTTTCGACTGCCGTCAATTTAATAAATTCCGAACATAAATACAACGTGTGATTATTGTTGCATAAAGGGCAAACTATTTTATTTGAGCTTGTAGCGAAAGATCTTGCTTGTCTTTGCGAGTGTTACATAATACGCTTAGATCCTTAGATCCTTTCCTAACAAGTCTTTACGAGTTGGTATATTTTTTGAATCAGTTCGAGATTCCCATTCACGTTTCGTCGTTTTATCGAATTTTGTTGTTGCCAGATGTATAATTAAGTCATCCCATTGGCATTCACTTCCAAGGCATTCAGATTTTTTTCAATACCATCAAGTAATGAATTCAATCCATAATATGACTCTTCTTTAAGTGTAGGTATTTCAAAAAGAGCCTTTACATGGTTTTTAATCAATGCTTGTTCATCTTCAAATCTATCTTACAGTAAATTCCATGCGACTTCATAGTTGTTGCATATTTGTAAGGACGCAATTTTTTCCGCAGCATTTCCTTCTAAAGAAAGACGCAAATAGAGAAATTTCTGCACGTTATACATAGTTGGATTCTTATGAATGATTGATTTGAAACTATCCCGAAAAAACAACCATTTATCAAGAGAGCCATCAAAAGTAGGTAATTTGAGTTGTGGTAAACGAAAGTTTAAATTATTATCGTTGGCAAGGAAGAGAAGCCGTCACAACCAGTGCTTGCACTTCCCTACATCAGAGGATTATCGGAGGGGATAAGAAGAATTGGTTCCAAGTACAACATTAGAACCTGTTTCAGATCCGGTAACNCTTTGGCATTTCTAAATATTCCACTCGAAGAACAATTAAATTCTGTTTCGATTGCTTTCCAGGCACCTTCTTTTTCATTCCAAGTGGTGACATCGCTTTTTTTATTCTCTATTATCTTCCTTTTTTCCTCCACTAGTGATACGAGTTTCTCAGTTTCTTCTCGCGTAAAGTTTACGCTTCTGTCCCATTTTTTATTCATTTCTACTATTCAAATTCACATACATCACACTACAATGTCAACAGTTTCAACTGCTTCAATGTCAATCAGTATAGTAGTATTAAACCATCGACCATCGACATAACGATGTTCAAAACCCACAGAACTCCAAAATAGGCAACGTTGCCACTTATTTCAACTGATGAGCTGTTAGATATCTATCTCTCAGATATTATAACATGTCGTGGTAACTTGGGTGGTGAAACAGAAAACCTTATATCAGACACTTTTATCTAGTAGATATTTTATCTACCAGATTGTTATCTAAAACTTTATCAGTCACTGGTGAAACAGGCCCTAAGAGACATTATAAACTCTTCTTCCTGTAAGAAATATAATGCAGTTGAATAATTTCATGTGAAGTACCCAAACTGAGAACGAAGACACTATCGTCGAGACAACTCGGGAGCAGCCGAATGTGAGAATGTACCACACGTCCCCTCTGCACCCTTTGCTCGACTTTGCTCTAAGCCGCTTCGTTTCTTGTCTTTTCGACCACGAGTAGTGTTGCCGTTTTATGTATAATTATCCGAATTTGGTTTCATTTGAAAGTCTGAATAATTTTATGTTTAATTTGATTATTCATATATTTTTACTCTATATCCAACAATTTGGTGGTATATGCAGATTTTCAGGTCAGTTTATCAACCGTCAATTGGAATAGAAGTAAAACCCATCACCATCCAGTCATGTCATGTACAGGGTGGGCCAAATTGGAAACTTTAAAGGGAAAGTCCTGTTTTCAAACTAGATAGATGAAAACTGATGGCTATGTCTGAGGGTCAATTTTTATGTCAAACTCAATGGTGAAAACCGCATATCGATATCTATCATCGTTTCTGAGTTACAGCGTGTTTTTCGATAATGTGCATTTTCGAAAAGTTGCTGTAACTTTTTTCCTGTTGAAAATTCTTTGTTTCTGTGAAAACATTTTCATAGCACTTTTTTACGTAGAACTCAATGGTTTAAGTAATTTATTTTTTCAAATCATATATCAATAGTTAATAATGGAAAAATCATTTTTTTAACTAGGACAACCTGTATATTGCTGCATTTTTCAATAGATCTTGAAATTACCTTTACAAAAATGTAGCACACTTGATGTTTTGCTAGAGTCACCTTTGGAATGCAGAGCTTTTAGGTTTTTTCATGTAGACTTTGAAACGCACACTTTGAACAAATAGGCTTTGGACGACGCCGTGATAAAACAGAAAGCAAATGTTTACTGGTAGCTGTCAAATTTTGATTT